AATTATTATTATAATATTATTTTAACTTTTTTAAATGCGAGTGGTAAAATATTAAATTTTGAATTATTATAATAATAATAAAATAATAATGAAGGAAACAACATTCGTTTGTTTATTAGTAATGTAGAATATTATAGTGTGATAACACATTTGTGTGTTATCACACATTGCATAGTGCTAATGAATATAAAACATGAATTAAATCTCATAAGTTCAATAACGTTATAAATACAGTTTAGCAAACAAAGAAGACCGTCAACGACGTTGAAGCTTACGGAAAATTCAAGATTGATGTAACATGTTTCAAATGGCTTAAGCCCTATGTGACTGCATCGAATGTAAAGAAAATATGTCTACTCGACTTTCTGAAAAGCGAACGAAGTGTGAATTTTCGTTCTTGTAAAACGACAAATCAGTTGGAGAAACCACGCTATGTCACCTAAGCCTTTCAAATGAAAAAATAAACCAAACTCTAACGCTAGTATATTTGATCATTGTAATATCACAAATGTAAAACTGTACCTCAACTCTCAGTGCTATCCATATAGCAATTTCAACATTGATTTCAGTAAAAACCAGTACGCAAAGTTCTACGATATGTATTCCAATTTTCAAAACGTATAATACGGTAAAGATGCCGAACCGATGCTCAAAAAACTCGAATATTAAAATTTCATGCCACTCATAGTGATTGACTGTTCGAAACAAAAAGAATCATTAAAGACTACTCCAGTAGATGTGTGCTTGGAGTTCGAAACCAGAGAAAATATTCCCGAAGGAACTACAGCGTATTGTCTTATTCTACACGATCGTATCGTTCAGTATAATCCGATAAATGGAGATGTGAAGAAACTTATTTAGGAGATGGGGGAAGGGTATTAAAGAATTCACTTTTTCCTCAAGCAGCTCAGTAGTAGCTTTCTATCGCAACGGAGTACGTAGGGGATATGCAAGTGATGCCTGACAAAACTTATGCTGTGAAAGAGGTAGCGATACTTCCACTTAATACGCTTGTTCAAACCTCCCTTTTCATGGCGAAGATTAATGGACAAATATAAGCGATAAAATCTCTGTTTAAAACTCTACTATCATGGATTAACATGGAACTCTGGCGATTTTAAGGGGGTATTACCGGTTATAACAACAAAAAAATAGGCTAATTTTCAATATTTTTTTCTCAGTTCCTTTATTCTATATCAATTTGCAAATTTCCACAGAGAAAATATATGATTTGAAGATTTCAAAAAAATTTTTTTTTGTTTTTTTCATTTCTTTTTCTAATTTATAGTATGCGTCGAAGTCAGTAGGTTAAAAAATGCTGCGTCCCATGGCTGACAAATAAGCTCGGGAACGAAAAATATGAAACAAAAAAACCAAACGGCATTTTCAAAAGGAAGGTATCTTATGTGGTAATTTACCACAATATTTAAAAAGATCACATGGAACAAAAATGGCGATAGTTTGAAAACATTTTTTAAAAAATCGCGTATTTTTTCACTTGTTCATTTTTTTGAGGTTCACTTTTTGCTTATATTGTGGTAAATTACCATACAGAATACTTGAATAAAAAAGCACACCAAATTTGGCTTAAATCGGTCGAGCCAATCCGGAGATTAAGTGTTCGCCGTTTGAAAGAAAGTCATTTTGAGAAAAACACGCTTAAAGTTTTTTATTATGAATCTATTCAATATTTTTATAAAAAACGGAATATTTATTACTTACAATTGCTCAGTCTGCTATCCCTGGACCATACTAAAAATTTAGGACGTGATTTCTGAAGGCATAATTAGTTGAAAAATGAAAAAAAAATGATTTTTTCAAAATTATAACCGGTAATACCCCCTTAAATACGAAGAGCATAAATTCATCATCACAGATACACTTAAAGATGTTATAAAAATTTTCGTTTCCGGAGATCTGATAAAAGAATAGTTAGAACGATATGACCTCAAAGTTTTCGATTTAAATAATTGGGGCTATTCACCTTTCGAAAATTTAAAATAAATCACCGTGTGCTCCAATCATAACGGCAAATATGTATCATCATGTGTACATCAAAACGTTAAAGTAATGAAAAGTTTTACATCGATGGCCGTTGTATGGATTGGGAAGAATGCGATGAAGTCGTTGACGGATTTCTATTGTTAATTTTTTTTTTAAGGTAGATAACATGTATTTTTTTTAGTAGAATAACATGTATTTTTTAAGAACATGTAGAATAGAATATATTTTTTATCAATAAAACATTTTTTTCAATTGATACAAAAAAAATATTCTTTTATTTTTTATTAAACTATCCAAAAAAAAAAAGCGAAATTCTCCACTTATTCTGACTACGACAGCAGAAGCAGTAGCAGCAGTTCATCTGTTTATAACAAATTTTTTATTTTTATCAATGAAAAAAATTTTTACAACATAGAATTGAGATGAAAAAAAAAATGTTTATTTATTGTAGTTAAGATGGTGTATAATGATGACATGTGTACATATGATTATTAGTCCTTCTTTTCGTTATTGAACTGCTTTTAGCCTTTTTGTCCAGGAAAATTATTAGTATTGCTCAGAAATGTGGAAATAGTTTGTTTCTATGTCGATGATTCTTTGTTCTTCTTTTCGTCTAGGTCTGCCTCTGGAAGACGAGAGTACTTCACTTTAGGGTAGCGATCCATTTTATTAAAATACTGGTTTATGAATGATTCGATAATTTTTATACTGTACTATTTCTAGTAGCTTACAACCACGAAGGCTACAAATTAAAGAAAGTAAGAAGGTTTTTGTGTTGCATTTTTTTCATCTAGGTTTTCACAGGTACTTGCACTTTTGTTTATTAAACCATCTTCGGTAGATGAGGCACACACACACACACGCACAGACACGTTGAACTGCAAAAAAATTCATTTTATACTCATTATAATAAATATATATAATAGCATTATTAGTTATAAATATTAGCGCTTTTGGGCTAATCGTGTAGCTAATATATACAATAAGAACTGTCCTGGGTACTAGTGGCAGTGGCTCTAGCGGTGGAGCATCGGCCTGCGGATCCAGAGGACGCGGGTTCGATTCCGCGATCTTTTCGTTTCCTTTTTTTCGATAAAAATTTACCTTATTACGTCTAAATAATTTAATATACACACACAAGCGATGAACAGCAAGCATGCGAACCGGGAATCGGCTCAGAGAGCACATCAACTCAGTAGGGGAGGGGCACAGTGAACCGAAACTGTGGAACATAGAATGCACGGGCATCAGCTTAGTACGGTGGGGGGAGGGTTGAAGGTGCGTCGACAGTGCCGAAGCGCATAAGAGGAGGGGAGGTGAGTTGACAGTGCTGAGATGAAGATGCACGGGCATCAGCTCAGGGACTCAGCTCAGTGAGCTGATACCCCCCTAAGCTAAGGCCTGTCTTGTTTACCTACTCAAATCAAATACTCTCATACCTGCACTAATATCAACCATTATACTATAATTATTACTACTTTCACCAGCATTAGTTGCATCACTTTTCATCCTTAAACGCGTTGAGCACCAAAGAATATCAAAGACGAGACATAGCGATACTCGCTGTAATATGCCGTTATAAAAAAAAATTAATTATTTTTTTTAGAAACACAAATAAAAATAATTAGAAATTGGAATAAAATGTTACCTGTAGTGTTAGATATTGATACTGCCGCCTGAATTAACATTAACATGACCGATGAGCTGAATTAAATATATCTACATATTCAAATATCCATTACCTGTTTTAAATTTCTTATTTTTCTTACATGATATAGCTAAGAATACGCCGTGTTATCCTTAAAATCACAATGGCCTTTCAATCTGATCGAACATCCGTAGAGCACGTGGTATTAACTTAAATTCATCCATGATGTGCATTAGCCAAAGCCTAACCGAATGAACGACTAAATCACCATTTTTCTCTATCACTCTTAAATATTGAAAATAACGCATATGTTCTTGACACAAAGTAAGGTCCAAGCAGCAATATATATTATTATTATTATTTGTAACGGGGGGAGGTTATCTCAAAAATGGGAAATTTATTTAAGAACAAATTCCCACGGTACAGAGCTAACCGCCGCTCCGTTAAACACGTAATATTGTACGTGTATTCCCCTTTACGTCAGATGATTTCGCTTAATTGTCTTCTATCGAACGGAATTGAACTCACCTTAAGTCACGTGCCTTGTGATACTCGATGAATCTTAGGTGTGGGCAACTTTACGTCTAATCCAATTCATCCCCTAGATGTAATCGGATTAAAACCTAAGTCTTTTACAAATCGCTGAAGCTACTGGGAAAATTAAATGACGTCATCGGCGAATAAATTTGATTAACTTTAATTAATAAAAATAACTACAGTCTTTATTGGGCCGAAAGACTAACGCTCGCGAACAGGATTTTACAATGAATACTATTCGGTGAGAGAGAGAAAGAGAGAGAGAAAAGATTCGAAATTTACCGCGAACTAACGCTCGGCGTGAATACAAAAAATCGCTATCACGATTGACAAAATACCGAATGTATTTTGTCACGCAATAATGACGGGAGGTGCACCTACCCTGCGGTGCAATTACGGTGATCAGCCGTAATTGTTGATGAAATATATCAACTGCCTCTGCCCTCCTATTTATCAACTGCAGCTGCGCTGCCTCACTCTGCCTTTAATCTGCTGCAATACTGCTTCTGCACTGCTGCTACTTGCTGCTGCAATACCGTCGTTGCACTCACGCACGTAATTGTCCCAGATAATCTTTAATAACGGCGAAACAAGGTGCAAAACAATATCGGCGGTAAACTCGCGTAAACAGCTGAGGCGTAACTGTTTATTCAAATGATCGCGCGCCCTCTCTCTCTTAATTGTTCGTACTAACGCACGAGAAGCAGAACCGCGAACAGATCGATTAATTGAATCGACTACCGTGGCATATTATTATAATTCAGGAAATGTCATTAAAAAAAGCATTAGAAATATACAAAGTCATACAAACCATATAATCCAGAATGCACTGCAGGAATTACATCAATCAATTGTGAAAGTGCATTATACAACTGCTTATAATCTAGATTTGGATATAAAGCCATTCGTTCATGATCAAAATTTTGGAGTTTCAACATATCGTAAGGAGAGTTCTCCACATCTTTCAATAAAGCTGAAACATCAATTGTGAAAAATTTGGAATCAACTATTATTTCTTGTTGACTAAATCACAATTATGAATGATATTTTATGAACATGTATTTAAAAAAATTCTACACAACTTAAGTAAACAATATTTTAATCAATCTAGAAATTAGATATATCATTTGAATATTGTGATAAAATATAATGTAAATCATAAATCGCTTTGTACTATAACTAATAACTCATTATGCCTCTCTCTCTTTCTATTACAAATTAATCACCTGTGTACAACTTATATTGTTACGTCAACTTATATCAGTCAATTTATTATATTTATATTAATTCCTGTATATGCGTGCTCACATTTCTATATGAGGTAAGTGAGATCGGAGAGAGATGCAAATACGCAGGGACTCACTTGACACGCGAGAATGAGACGGAGAGAGAAAGACAAGGATAGCCATACCGCGGCGAGTAGCCGCGTGTGCTGGTTAGTTGACACGAAATGAAAACGCGAGAGCGAGCCCGCAAAACCGGAGCGTAGCTTTTTCGACACACTGACGAGCGCACGTTTGTGTTTTTTGTTTGTCATTTCTATCCTCGCTTTTTCTTCTCGACACATCAGCTACAAGAAGAGACAAGAGTTCTCCGTCCAAGCGGGAATTCTGGGTGAGAACATCGGAGTGATTACACAAGAGAGAACTTAAGGATGTAGCGAAAGTGAATCGGTCGAGCAGTGAGAGACAATACACCACGAGAAACATCACACCTGTGCCTTGAGAAAACACTGTACGCGGGACATATACTCCTGGGTGAACGTATGCGACGAGATCCTCGACAAACCTAGCTCGGCTGTTTGCGCGAACGCATAATTTGTAAATACTGCTCCGATAGTTCTCTCTCTCTCTTTCACTTAATTTAGCATACTCTCTCTCTCTCTCTCTCATGCCGTTTGTGCTAATGCTTCTTTATTTGCTGTATTTTGGCCTTTCGTATTTATCCCTTTCACTTGTGTTAACGGGGTGAACCGGACTCAATCCTCATTACAGTATATTGACATTTCGTGGCTAATGATTTACTGGATATCAATCAAGTATTCATTATCTTATATGTTATATTGAACATTTATTCATAGGATTTTTAAAATCCAAAATAGATTGATTGTCAGGAACATCGAGATACTATATATTATTGTCAGCAGTAAGAAGTTTCAAAATATTTTTTTTGATGTGTGTGAGTGTGTGCGTATGTGTGTATATGTGTGTGTGTACAGGGTATCCTATTTTAACTCATCCAGTCGCTAGATTTCTTGAAAGTGGTTGGAGTTAGCTAAAAATGTTTCAGACTAAAGTTACTTAAGATCAAGGGGGATGTATTGAAACGTATCATCATGATCTTACCTGTGATCTTACAGATATTTTTTAAGATTATATCATGATCAACATTTTTTTAATATAATTCCCTATTTTTTACGCTAGATTCAGAAAGAGTAGGAAATTCTACGCTCAGACGTGGTAACATAGTTGAGGTTCAATTGTTCCTTAAAGGTCATATGATTATTAATTTTATTTTTCACCTAATTTACGCAACAAGAGTAACATTTAATTTACGTTTCAAATAAAAGCTATTCTACTTTGAAGGAGACGTATTGTAATAAATCTTGTAAGTCATTTGAAGCTTATGTGAAGATTAACTTTCTATTTTTAATAGAAACTGTCATTTTCATCACGGAGTACGAAAGAGCGAGAATTCTAGAACTATATGAGGCATTACTGAAGAATCGTTTTAATTTTTCAAGGTAATATACTGTAACGGCTTAAAACCGTTTAATTATTATATTCGCGCGATTACATTAAAAAGACACGCGTAATTGTCAATGCTCACTACTTATCCGGGAGAGCACGAGAAAGTATGCGTCAGTCAAACAATAATCGTTATTAACCTATACTAAATTGAGTGGAAGCTATGTGAGATGAGAGAATCAATGAAAACACTTGTTAGTAATGTAAATTGGATCTTTTATTATTCCTCAAAATTCACAAAAGGTCGGCCCGCGCGTTTGTTTACATGCACGCTCGCTCGTCGACAACACGCTTTGCCGGTACGCTCGCTGCTCTTTGTTATTAGAGCCGTTACATGCACGCATCGAATGTTAGTATCAAATTATTATTTTATGCTCGCGATCGCGAAATTAAGCTGGCCAGCTTACACACTGGTTTCGCCCTCGATGGCGAAACCTCACATACTCTCTCTCGTTCTGGCCTCAAGCTCGTAGCTGGACAGCACCTTGGCGGCTGCAATCCTGGATCCCTGGCTGTTGCTTTTTCGATGCGTGTAGACGTCAAGGGCACGTGAATCGTAAATTGCGGTAGCGTAAGCGGACGGACACTATGATGGTCTAGGCTTCACTGGTTCAAATTCGGTCGCGCGCGTTCCGTCTGCTCGCGTGCCAAATTCCTTCGTTACCTATTCTGTCCCCCCGGCAGGTGCTGCCCTCACAGGCAGCAATTGAGCTAAATAGTCAGCGCTAATTTGACGTTTACCGTCACAATACAAGTTAAATGAAAATTTCCTCCTGAAAGGTCTATTTTTGACTTTCAAATTGAGTATTTAAATTTTTTTATTTTTTTTTACTAACTTTCAGATATTCGGTTCGTGTACCAAATTATTAAATTAAGAAAATTCTAGTTCGCTACTATATGAAAAATTTTTAATATTATCTTGACATTCGAAACTTTTTCTTCAAAAATTATACCACATCATCGCTTCTCACTTTATTTTATTCTCTGAATTAAAATAATTTTATCGTTAAACTACAGTGTACTAGCTTGTACTTGAATGACAATTTCATGATAAATGAAGTGATATGGATATCAGAAAAAAATAAAAGTAGGAACATTACAGTAGTATTTTTGTTAAAAAGCTAATAAGTATCTTGAATTTTTTTTTCTGTAAGTAAATACAAAAAATTATTACCCTGTCAAAATTGAAGTGGAAAAATTAATGGTGTCGTAAGTATAAAAAATTATTTACAAATGAATCGATACTTTTTGTAAAACCATTAAAATGCTGCAACTTTCATATTACATTTTTAAAGAATGGCTAATTATTTAGCAAATGAAATGATTGAAATATTGTTCACTTTTAGCGAATACCACCGTGTTCCATACATAAATACATAATATTGTCAGAAACTGCCAAATGAATAATTTATATCAACAAAGATATCGAAACAGAACTTTGAATAATGACGATGCAACATTTATTGCGATACTAATAATGGTTTATTTAAATCCGCATGTTAGTACAAGGACAATTCAACGCTAATTGGGAATTTCCCGCTCAACTACTCATCACATGTTACTGTCAATGCATCATCACCCATACCATATTTTACAATACCAAGACTTCAATGAAAATAATTGACTACTCAGAATGAACATTTTGGAATGAACTTCTGTAGATAGGCTCTCAATCAATTAGACCAATATCCAAATTTTTTTTAGCACGTTTTTTTCAGTGATGAAGCTACGTTCAAAAATGACGAGTGTCAACAGGTGCCGTCAAATCATCAATCAACACCGTTGGAGTATTAATGTTCAGGTCGAAATATTTGGTGAACACATAATTGAACCACATTTTTTTGATCGCACAGTAAACGGTCTCCGATACATCGAATTTCTACAAAATCATCTACCTGAATATTTAAATAATATTCCACTGAATGTTAGGCAGCTTATGTAGATGCAGCAAGATAGTGCTTCAGCTCACTTTGCGACAAATGTTAGAGCATTTTTGAATTATCGGTTTGGAAACCGTTGGATAGGTCGTAATGAACTAGCTCTTTAGCCGACAAGATCTTCTGATCTCAATTCATTAAATAGTTATTTATAAAGATATTGTAAAAATGCTGTTTGTGGAGACGCACTCACTACTAGATGAGATATGATGGAAAGAATCAGGAGAGCTTATGCATCAGTAATTCTAGACGTAACCAGAGGTCTTATGAAAAATTTTTGTTATAGATTAAAAATATATTTGCGAAATGATGGAGGGCCAATTTAATATCTAATGTAATCAACATAATAAATTACTTTTAGTTAGAAAATGAATGATTTTATTAAACTATGAAGAATTATACAAAATAAGATTTTTTGTTAAACTCCATTCATTGAAAGATTAATAAATGTAATCTAAACGGAAAATTACCTTTGCTTTTTTATTTATCCGAATGGAGAATTTTATAAGTTTCTTTTGAATTATACACGATCTTGAAAAATTGAAACGATTTAAAGGCAAGTTCATCACAACATGTTCCCTCCAAAGTCGAATAGCTTCTGTTTGAAACGCAAATTAAATGTTACTCTTGCCGCGTAAATTAGGTGGAAAAAAAATTGACCTTTATATGACCTTAGGGAGAGAATTGAACCTCAACTAGGTTACCTCGTCCGAACGTAGAATTTCCTGCTCTTTCTGAATCCGGGCTCATATATTGGGGTTGTTACTAAAAAAAATGTTCACCTTGAACTTACTTTGAAAATGACCTTCAATATCACAGGCAAGCTTATGACGATATACCCTTCTTGATCATGAGTAATTTTTGTCTGAAACGTTTTTCGCTAACTCTAACCACTTTCCAAAAATCTGACGATGGATAAGTTAAAATAGGACACCCTGTACATGTGTGCATGTGTGTCACCTAGTTTGCCAGCGTACCGCTAGGTGGTTCATTCACCACGTACCAGGAACAGATTTAATTAAACAAATCGAAGGAAAACCAAGGAAACAAAACCAACTAAGCCAATGACAAGGTATTTCGCCTATTCATCTAACTTTTTGCCAGATTATGAAGTTTAATCGATAACACAGATCAACAAAATATAACTTTTTTTCAGAACTTAAATAAGACATATCATTTCTCGTAGATATTTTAGCGCTGAATCGAAATCTGGCCACAGAATTGCTCTAGCACGTCAGGTTTTTGAGATATCCTAACCTAAAAGTCCATAAATCACGTTTTAGCCTATA